ATGATCTATCTCATAAAATTTGGACCCTAAGGATAAGAGTCATGACCTGTTGGATTTTTCAATTTTGTTTTTTTATTTTTCCTTTTATAAGCCTGCACAATTTCTTGAGTCACATCATTACCCTCCTCTAAAAGCTTCACCTTGTCCTCAAGAAAAAAATCTAGAAATTGCATGGAGATGGTATCAATAGGCTTTTAAGAATTCTCAAACTCCAAAAAATCCTTCCATTTAACAAGAACTTCTTGTTGACCATTTAAAAGTTTTTGGACCTTTCGAATCTCTTAGGGCTGCAAGTGGAGTTCAAAGTCATGAGACAAAGCTAAAGGGATAGTTAGAGTAACTATAGTAGATTGCACAGATTTTTTTAATTTGGGAAATGTGAAAAACCATATGAATGTTAGCTATAGGAGGCAATTCCAACTTATATGCAACTTTGCCAACCTTTTCAAGCACCTTGAAGGGACCATAAAAGCATGGACTCAGCTTCTCATTGACCCTTCTAATTAGAGTTTTCAACCAATATAGCTTGACTTTAACATAAACCAAGTCTCCCACCTCAAACTGAACATCCCAACAATGCTTATTAGCTTGGTGCTTCATATTAGTTTATGCCATAGCTAAATTTTCCTTCAAAGTTGCAATTATCTGGTTGCGAAGCTGAATCTTCTCATTGATCTCTTCCATTGCTAACAGTTCATCTTGCAACTTAGAAAATGTAAGAGGATCTCAATCATACACGACTTTGAATGGAGGCATTCCTGCGACATTATGATGTGATGTATTGTAATAATATTTTGCCTGTGATAGCCATTTGACCTATTGATTAGGCTTCTTACTGGTAAAACATCATAAATATGTTTCCAATCCTTTATTAAGCACCTCGGATTGCCTATCAGACTCAAGATGATAAGCGGAGCTAAAACATTATTAAGTACCAGCCTGCTTGAATAATTCCTTCCAAAATTGACTTATAAAGACCCTATCCCTACCTAAAACAATTATTTTTGAAAACCTATGCAACTTGACAATCTCATTCACAGAAGTCTCAGCAATATCCTTAGTAATAAAAAGGTAGGAAAGGGGTAGAAAGTGAGCATATTTGGTAAGTCTATCAACAACAACAAGAATGGTGTCATAACTCTGAGACTTAGGAAGCCCGGTAATCAAATCCATGCTAATATCCTACTACATATTGTGAGGTATAAGAAGAAGTTGCAAAAGGCCAACTAGAGATAATGCTTGGTACTTGCTCTTTTAACATACATCACATTAAGCAACATACAACTGTATGTCTTTTTTCATTCCCTCCCAATAGACATTATTGCTCAATCTTTAGTAAGTCTAGAGGTAGCCCGTATGTCCCCCAATAGGTGAGTCATGATATTCCTTAAGCAACAGTGGAATCCAAGTAGAATTCTTCAGTAAAACCATCCATCCTTTATGGTGCAAACAACCTTTGTTTAAGCTGTATCCCTTAACACTGCCTTTTTTGTAATGATTTACTGCATTATTTGGCTCAATTTTGGGTTTGACTTCACTCATTTTTCCTATTCTTCAATGTCATAGTACTGCCACAGAGAAAAACCCATAATTTCCATAGTTCATCTTGCCTAGGCTTGTAAGAAATTTCAAACTTGTACCCCATTAGCTTAGAAACCCATTTTTGTTAGTTCTCTTCAACTATCCACTGGTCCAGCAAATATTTCAAGGCTTTCTGATATGTGCGAATGATAAATTTATGCCCCCATAAATAATGTCGCCACTTCTTGATTGTCATAACTATTGCCATCAACTTCCTTTCATGCATAGAGCATTGTTGGGCTTTAAAAGAGAGTTTTTGACTAAAATATGCCACTAGTTTTCCTTTTGGCATTAAAACCGCTCCTACACCAGACCAAAATGCATATGTTTCCAACTCAAAAGGAATGGAAAAGTCTGGCATGGTGAGCACCAGAAGCATAGTCATTAAGCTTTTAAGTCGTTCAAAAGCATCACCAACTTTAGTTGTCCACTTGAAGGCGTCTTTCTTGAGCAAGTCAATGAGGGGGCTTGCTATCTTTCCATAATTCTTGACAAAACATCAGTAATACCCAATCAACCTTAAGAATCCTCTCAAGGACTTCACATTCTTGGGCTTAGGCCATTTTAACATGCTTTCAACCATTATAGGGTCAGCCTAGACCCCTTCCTTTGAAATTATGTGTTCGAGATACTTGATCTTTGCTTGAGCAAAATTTCACTTTTTTAAATTTACCACCAACCAACTTTCTTTCAAGCAAGTTAATACAATTTCTAAATATTTCAAATGGGTAGAAAAATTAGTGCTGTAAATGAGTAAATCATCAAAAAATACTAATACAAACTTATGCAAATACTCCTTAAACACCTCATTCATCAGTGATTGGAATGTAGAGGGGGCATTGGTCAACCTAAAAGGCATCACTTTGAATTCATAGTGTCCTTCATGCTTTCTGAAGGCAATCTTATGCTCATCTCCCACTTTAATTTGAATCTAGTGGTATCCAGATTTAAGATCCATCTTTGAAAAAACGATTGCTTTCTTCAACTCATCTAGCAATTCACTCAATAGCAGGGATGGGAAATTTGTCTGGAATTGTAATTTTGTTCAATGCCTTGTAATCAACATAAAATTGCCAACTCCTATCCTTTTTTTAACCAATAAGACTGGGCTTGAGTAGGGGTTGTTGCTGGGTTGTATAATCTCAGCATTTAGCATCTCCTTCACTATATTTTCAATTTCATTTTTCTATAAATGAGGGTACCGATATGATCGAATGTTCGATGGTTGATCCCTTAGCTTGATTTCAATTGCATGATCCTTAAATCGAGATAGAGGTAACTCTTAAAGGGCTTGGCAAACTTCTGGAAAAAATTTTAAAAATGCCTGAACTTCGAGAATTAATCTCCCCTCATCCCCGTCATCACTGACTAGACCATTATACTTGATTAAATAGCCTTCCCCTTTTTCTTCACCAATCGCATTAGAGACTTGAAATTTATTTGGTTCTTGGACAAGGTAGGATCACCTTGTAAAGAAACCTTGTCTCTTCCCTTACCAATCTTCATTGTTAGCTAATTCCATCCTCCTCCTTCTCTAAATCAAATTCCAGCAGCATAATTTGCAAATTTTTATTTTTACAAATATGGTTAGGGTTATACTTTTCCAAACACTTGAAGCAATGACCCAATTCCCTCCAACAAGTCAATTCAATGTCTGAGAGTCTTCACGCACCTCCCCCTTTTTTCACCAATGCTATGCCTGTGGAGTTACTTGCAGATGAGTCTCCTCCCTTCACTTCTGGTTTGCGAATTGTATCCGAGTGGGTATAAGAATATGCAGTGCTTTTTTGCATTTCAGATAACTGGGTTTAGGCTAGGTATGGTTTGGGTCCATTAGCGTAATGTTACATCTTGTTTACCCGATTCTCCCTGACCTGAACCAACACCAAATTCCTTTCTTCAATTCATGGGGCCAACTCCATTATCTTGCAGTGGATGAGCAATAGTGAGTCTCAACTTGGCTCTGATCTCTAATTTCAAGGTGATTTTGAAGGCTCCTATCAAACTCTCTTTGATCGCGTCTGCTAGTGGGTCTGAGAGGCACTCGAATTCTTCCACAAACTCAAGCATAGAATGCTCATGTTTCATTGCATAAAGCATCTCATATTCATCCCCCAATTGGGAAGGGTGAAATCTCCATAATAACTCGTGTTTAAACTCAAGCCAACCCCATATAGTAGTTTGAGATTCAACCCATTAGTACCAATTCAAGACTTTGCCTTTTAAACAAACAACCATAGCCTCCAGTTTCTCAACTTCAGTAATGGAGTTAATGTGAAAGTATCTCTCTGCTCAAAAAAACCACCCAAGGGGATCTTCTCTAGAAAACACAGGTAACTCTAATTTTCCAAACTTGACTCCTCATGATTTGCACTGCTCCTTGATGATGCATCATTCTTAAGAATCTCTGGCTCCTTCGCATTGAACTCTTCAACAATCTTTTGCTTTACTAATTGCCCCAGAGTCTCTTGCACTTTCTCAATTACCTCTCTCAAGGCATTTACATCCCTAATTAATACCCTAACTGTCTCCCTGAACTCTTAAACATCTAGATCAACATAAAGCACTTCCTCTACCATTACTCTTTGCCACAAGTACCTTCCAAATTCATACTACACTAATACCAAATGATAAAGCTCAGCTTTATTTACTAGTTCTCAATAGAATCTTAACACAGATAAAGAATGAAGGGAAATTCTTAAGTTTTGATATTAATACGAAATAAATGAATCAGTGTTACAAAGTAGAATTACTGATTCTAACCAAAATCATATTCCCTATAACAATAAAATACAATGAAGAAATAGTTACCAACAACATACACATAAAGGTCAGGTCTCCCACTGGTGTCCAAGAGACCAACACTCTTCTCTCCAATATCTGAGTTACAACATACTCTGAGTGCCAAAACAAATGATAATAAAATATTAAGGAGGCAGAAAAGTGACACCATCACCTAAGTTGAACCTATAGCCACCCTACACACATAATGATCTATCCCATAAAATTTAGACCCTAAAGTTAAGAGTCTTGACTCATTGGATTTTTCATTTCCATTTTTTTGTTTTTCCTTTTATAAGTCTACACAATTCCTCAAGTCACATCAGAGTCTTTTGCAAATATTTTTAACTATAGCCACCAAATCACAAGGGAATAAAGTACAAGGACAAAAAACAATTGGTGAAACAATAAGGATTGATCACTTTAACAAACCACAGGATGCTTTATTTAACTAACAAGGGAGTTGTGCGAACTTAATTAGAAGTATCTAGTTCAAGCTCTAGGTACACAATACAATAGTGTTGATTGTAGAGCTTATGTCTAAAAGGCTCCCGTCCCATCTCAATCCAAATTAGTCTAGGCCCTCATTAAATCTCTTTAGCTTAATGTGAGGCAAGCCGAGAATATCAGATGCTCTGTGAAAAATAAAACTCACTTTTAACATAAATATAAAAACCAAGGGGCCAATCTACACCAGAAAGTGTAACGTTTAAGAGAACCTCTCATTATTAGTCATCTTAAGTTTTGTGGATAAAATCTCCAAAAAGAAGCAATCAAAGGCTTTCATACGGGTTCAAGAACTATTAAATAGAATGCAAATATTTCATTTCTTGCAAGCGGATTGATGAATAAGCAGATCTCTCCAATGTTATCCTTCAAAACAATGCTCCATCAACAAACCTACTTCAAATCCTTCAAGGATCGAGAAACATGAAATTTTGAAGAGGAGCACTCAGAAGTTACATGGTTACTTCAGAACAACTGCAGCGTTCCTCAAGGCCAAGTACCTCTGCACATACTCATTAGGAAGCGATCTGACAGTCTTGAAAACTTCAGTATTTGCATACCGCAGTCTAGTCCTGGGATCACAGTAGGGTGCCTGCAGAGTGAACTAATTAATTCTTCTCCAATACAAGGTCTAACGATTCCATATTAGCTTGAATATATGGCATAAAAATTAGTATAAGAAGAGTATAAGACGAGAATAAAGTGACAAGGATATGTGAGTTATGAAAGAAAATATATCCACAATAACAAGGAAAATATAAGCACGTTGAGAAGGGTATTTAATCAGATCACAGACAAGCCTAAGAACCATAATCCAAACCAATCAAGTTAAAGAACCTTAAATCGCTGATATGAGAGATCTAGCTAAATTACTAAAAGGTCATAAAATCTGTCACACTTAAGTTTTCTTTTGTGTTACCATGACTTCGTTAAAATATTTGCAGTTCTATGCATTGGCAGTATGTGTGCAGTTACTGCAGTATAATGCAACAAGAAAACAATAGGAATACTAATAGGTGACAAAAAGTGTTTTCATCCATGTCACACCTTCCACTAATTTCCTGCTGCTAATAGTGGCAGTGGAAGTCATTATCAAAATTTAGCTACAAGGAAATGCCATTATTTGATATTCAAATGTGAGAAGTTCACAAGCAAAACAATGACATGAGAAAAAAAATCTTATTGGATTCACAAATTCCAAAAATAAAAGATGAGAATGACAGCCTTTTAAATTGAAATTATGGGGATTCAATTTCCTCACCAATACAAAGCGCACCCTCTATTCTTTAAAATAGAATTCTATGATGAATTTCCAAACCAAGACATGGATGACTAATGATAGTCGTCAAGGAAATACAAGACCGAAACTAACAAAAATCTTTCCATACCTCAAAGCCTGTAACATCGCAAATTCTCTTGCAGGGATGTATAGAGGGTCGTGACTCAATATTCACATCTGCAAGCAAATCCCATGAACTAATCAAACAACCAAACAGAAGCATCAATATGGATTGCACAAACGGGAAATGGAACATAAAATATTAAAATTAGGAAACAGTCTCAGGCTCAGGATTTAATACTTCGTATGCAACTCTGGCACACACATATTGTCAAGGAAAATTAATTGAAGAACCAGATCTTGCATTTCTTTATAACTTTAGACCCTATAATATGAATAGGAAGCTTTTAACATTAGATTGACCAACAATTGAATTGTTATCACTTCACAAACCTCTTATGCAGTTCCAATTCTAAATAATAAAAGAAAAATACAAACATAAAAAAATAAAACTTACAAAAATGAAAAAAGCATAAAAAGATTGAGAGTACGTGGAGTAGTGTACACAAAATGTTGGATGAGACAAAATGAAGAAATGGGTTTCCTTTCACAAAAAGAAAAAGGATATTGGCTCTAATAGCTCACAATTGGGTTCATCAGGTGAGTAATCCTGGTAGTTCTCAGCTTGAAGAATCTGCTTAAGATGTTTCCAGTGCCTGCCACGGGCTTGGCCTTTGGGATATTTCTCATATGTTTGAACCCGCTTAAAACTGAGATAGGTTGGTAAAACTAGCTCTGCCTCCACCACCACAGGCTCCATCTTTCTTATCCTTCATGAGATATCAATCAAATTTCACTAAACAAAAAATCACGTCACCAATTTAACGCAATGGTAACATAGAATAACTTAATTAGAAGAACACAAAAAGTAAAAAAATAGAGAAAAGATATAAAATAAAAACAATAATGATAGAATAAATAGAGACACAGAGCCCAATACAAGCTGCAATGTTTATCAGGTGAACTATACAGAGAGGTCATACTAGTTACAACTTCTTAAAAATGCAGCTTGCCTTAATTAGAAGAACACAAAAAGTTAAAAAATAGAGAAAAGATATAAAATAAAAACAATAATGATAGAATAAATAGAGACACAGAGCCCAATACAAGCTGCAATGTTTATCAGGTGAACTATACAGAGAAAATCAACCTATTGCAATGCAGTAACCTAACTAAGGAATAAGGTGGAGAAAATCCTGTAAACTGTGCTAGCATGCAGAAACAAGGCCTGACAACACCCAAGCACCTCCAACCTTCCTGATTTTTTTCTGGAGGATAACGCAGAATAAGTTACACCCTAGTAAGAATTATCAATAAGAAAAGTCAAACTTAAATTAAAGATTCTCCTAAGAGCTTTTCCAGATTTAGATTAGTTTACTTGTACATCTACCCAATCTCAAGCACCTTCTATTTAATTAGGATCAGAATAAGATAAATTTTCTCTTGATTCAGATCTGATCTTGATTAGATTGAATATAAATTTAACATGAAAAGGAACGAAACAAAACCTTATTTGCTTCTCAAAAAGAGTTACAAAACGAATAAAGTGAAAATAAAGATTAAACCAAGAACATTTTTTTGTGTCCCATGCATCAGAAACATCACTACACAATATTAGTTGATAAATCCGATGCACTTGGCCTGTCAATAAGCTAGTAATGCGAACTAAACAACTGGTGGTATGCTGGTATTGTTGGTCACATTGAGGTTGTTCCCACGACTTTAACCTAACAAACTCTACTCAAGTGGACAAGCCCAGGGGGCATGTGGATGCTAGTATCAGTTTTAAAGCTGCGGCAGCACTCAAATGTAACAGGCAAAGACATAAATGTAGGATTTTCAGATATTATCTATAGGTACCAGTATCATGACATATAAAGGCCAGTAAGCTTTCACCAATATTAGGGCATGATAACTTCGAATATAATTTAAACATATAACAGTATGTGAATATAAAAATTAATGGCAATAGTTTAGCGCCAAAATGTCCCAATATATTAGCTAGTTCGCAGTATTATTGATTGTTAAATGAACTTGGAAATAAAATTCAATTCTAAAAAAAAACCCGATCGACTCTGACATAGAAAATTTTAAAATAATAACAGCATTAATGAAATCAATACCCAACCAGAAACAGCCGGACATTTTAGGATGGCAAAATTTTCTATTAAAGCTAACAAAATAAGTTGCAAGCAGAGGAAGCGAAATTAGGATTCACTGGCATATCAAGATCAGTCCACCTGTATCCACAAACTAGAGTTCAAAGTGGAGAAAGAAAAGACCTGAAGCTGCTGAAGAAAACGTCGCCGGCAAAATCCTGACAACGTCCCTACAAAAACCGACGTTGCAGTCGCTGGATTATGAGGATCAAAGTACGATCCCAGTGGCGTTCAGCATTCAGAAGTCAGCAGGAGAAGCTTCGGCATTGTTTACGCGCTGAATCCGAAATATTCTGTCGAAGAAATTTAAACTCGGCCGTTGCTCCCCTCTCATTTTCTTTTTCCTTTCTGTTGGCACTTTGGTAGTAGGAATTCTTACGTGTACTGGATGCACCCGTCATCCACAGCCTGTTCTATAAAATCATGCTAGTTAAGTGTAAATATAAATTGATTTTCTCGTTCAGAACGAAAGAAAGAAAAATGAACAAATTAAGGAGTTACTTTCTTTTAAAAATAAATTAAGAAAATATTTATGTACTTAACATCATCATATAATTAGGGTTTGTTTGATTGAAGTGGAGAGAAAATTTTTAAAAAAATTTTTCTCTCCAAACCCTCCCCCAAATTGGGAGGTCCCCTCCCCTCCCCTCCATTTCATTTCTTTTTCTCTAACCAAACATTATTTTTAGGTACTTTTATCTAATTAAATCATGATATGTGAATTTTTTATAGATTATTTAATCTAAAATAAATTTTTGTTATTGATTAAAATAATATATTAAGATTCACATGTCATGATTTGATTGAATAAAAGTATTTAAGTATATAAGGTTAAATATATGAATCTTGCCCATAAAATTATTAAAAAATAATTTTATATAAAATTTAAAATTTTATTTGATTGCATTAACATGATATGTTTTTATTAGATAATGTAATGTCTTTGGTCTATCCAAGATTTTTTTTTTTTTTTTTTGGTAGAAAGATTTGCAGCCGTGCACTCATGCATGTGTTAGTTGAGAAATTCTTGAATGAATTTAGTGTGCTATATTATTTATAATCTATTTAATAAAACTGCACTAATTCAATTAAATAAAATTTTATGTGTCATTATTTTTAATACATTTATTTTTATAATAAAATATTTATTTAATTTCTTGTATTTTCTCTCATTATTATTAATGTTAAAATTAATTTATATTTAATAACATATAAATATTATATTTTTGTTAGATAGATCAGTAATAACATGACGTACAAAGTCCATCCAATAATTTATCAATGTTAGATATCACCATGCACCTTAAAGATTTCTTTTTCTTTTTCTTTTTTCACCTCCCGTAAAAGACAATAATTTAAAATTTTTTAACAAATTATATTTATCTTCTAAATATCTAATATGAAACTAGATTTTTTTTTGAAAGAATGACAAATAAATCTCTCTAAAATAAGAAAAAATTAATTTGATCCCGTGAAATACGATAATGCAAATTTAAGTTTTAAGAGATCTAATTGTCATTTAGTTTTTACTTAAATGAAAAAAAATCCCTTAATTTAAAAAGTGCAACAAATTTTTTTACAACTTTAGTTCAAAAAATGATTAAAATAATTTAGACATTTACAACTTTCTCCAACCTTTTTTTTTTTCAATCAGCAAAGTGCAATAATATTTTTTGTTCACAACTTTAGTTTAATAAATAACTAAAGTAATTTAAACATTCGCAATTTTCTCTTTTTTTTTTTTTCTTAATCAACAAAGTCCACCAAAAATTTTTGATTCACAACTCTAGTTTTACAAATCTGACTCAATAAATAACTAGAATAGTTTAGACATTGATAACTTTTTCTCACCATTTTTCTTTACCTTTCTAAATTAAGAAGCATTTTTGTCATTTCGTTAAAAACTTTAATGAAACAATTACAAGTTTAAAGAATTGGGCAACGAGCTAATCGGATTAACGAGCTCACTCATCACTACTAGGCTACAATTTATCAAGTGAAAAGAAATACAAAATATATATGCAGGGCTAGGTTTGAACTAAACTAAGGCAGACCTTATTAAAAATCAGTTCTGCTTGGTTTTTTTCAGCTTGGTTCAATTTTAAAAACAAAGGGGAGAAACCAAGCCCCCAAGCATGAAACAGTAAGATATGTTAGGAAAACCACGTGCTTCTCCTTCTACACAATCTGCAGAAATTTTGGGCCCCAAGCTTAATGGGCTCCTGCTTCCTGAACAGAAAATCCTAATAATTCATAGAAAGATAAGGACCATTTGTTAATTTGTATAATTAGTTAAGCCACTTGTGGTGAAAGCCGGTTCTGAAAGGCGGTCAATTGATCACGCTGGGTCAAGGTGAACATGACATACTGAATGGGTAATTAAATTATGTCAAAATGTGAGGATTTCATAAATCTCTGATTGATCATATAACCATGAATAAATTGATCATCCATTTAGCACGTTCCATACTTCAGCTTCATCCACAATGCTCGTATTAATTGACACCACAACTGAGATATATCCAAAGCAAAACCATCATCTACCTAAGATTCTTGCATAGTTGCATGAACTCATGAACTCCAAGCTACAAGCTTGTGACTCAGTGAACAAAAATTCCTTGAGCATTAAAAAAACCACTCGTTCCAAAATATATATATATATATATATATATTTATATAGTTCCAAGAGTAACAAAACATCAGGGTGGTGACCCAAAAATTAACACACAAACACTCAACTATTTAGCTGCTCTAGAAATATATTACATCAAGACCACAGAGAGCAAGTTACCTTGGCATTCATACTCTCATATGTTTCCATTTATCTTTTAGATCAGCAGTGTTACGTTTGCTATGAAATACATGACAACCAAATTCTAAAATTTTCTTCCAAGGGATATTCCGCTGATCCATTGAGAACCTTAACACTCCTTCCTGCAGCGTGAGAACCAAAGTTGATGAGATAGACTGAGACAAGAAAGTCTGGCGTAATTGCGAGAATCAAGAATAATGCAATTCACTCTACTTGAATGATTATTAATACATTAAAGTTCAATATCATAAGTGATTATTCATGGTTAAATATAAGAAATTATATCAGAACCCATTTGACATTGCCTCAGATATCACAAAGTCTGCTGAATTAGTTCATGTAGCATCCATGATTCAGTTGGTTCTAGAAATATAGTTCATGAGACATATACCTTCAGCATATTTACTTCTTCAACCGTCCAATTTAATCTCTTGCGCTTCCCCGTTTCAGAATTGGCAACTTCCTCTTTTTTGTAACAAGCAGTTTCACCCCGAGTTATACTCTTCTGCGGCAATGATTTCCAAACAGGAGGAACTCCCCGAGTATAGGATGTTCTTTGTTCCCCTTGTTTGTCATGACTCTCCTTCATGAGGAGAGGCTGAGAATCTGAATCACCAGTTTCACTAACAGAACAATCAGTTACAGATGGATTTAATTCACTCTGGACTAACTTTTCTCTACCCTTCACCCTGCACTTATCTAAGTAGATTTCAACACCTTGCATCCCTCTGGCAAATGCATCATCAGGCAAGGGTCCATCTAAGGATTCACCAAAACGGAAAGCACTCAAAGGCTTTGCATCCTTAACAATCATTGCATGAGCATATTCATTATTATATCTCAAGTCTTCCAGTTCAATTCCCTGTTGTCCTTCAACAAATCTCGTTTCATGTGTTTTGGAAATGTTATTGTAGAGAATATCAAATTTCTCCCCGTTACCAAATTTATGATCCAGATCAATATGTACAGGTGTCACTTCTTCTCTATAACATTTAGAATCACAGGAATTGGCTTCTGGACCATTTGCATTGGCTATATCTCCAACTGCGATTTCATGTTGATCAGTTCCAGACATCGATATTTCCCCTTCTTTTTGTTCATCTTGCAAAGTCCTCAAAGGCTGACTGTGAAGACTCTTATTGCCTGGCCTATTATGATAATCCAAACCACTCCCATTTCCCAAAACAGAGACCTTTTCAGGCTCTCTCATCTCAATTCCCACATCATTCTCAGCCAGTCTGTCACTCGTGATTCCATTTTGAAAAAAGAATTTAGACAAATCTTTCTTTGCTAGAAAGGCCTTTCTCCTAGATTCCTCAGCTTCTGCCCGTGCTCGTTTGTACCAGCAATAGGGACAGAAGAAGTTCCCCTTATCATCAAATTTAGGTTCAATGCATAAACATTTTGCATGGAGATTAACAGGGCAATCTCTCTCAGCACAAACTAATACTTCTCCACCTTCATTACAACTGATACAGCTTTTTCTGCCCAAAAAAGTCAAACATATATCGTCATCGTCTAAACTTTCACGAGAGCTTCTGTTGGAACCCTCACCCATGTCATTATTTATACTTCCTTTTGAAACATCCTCTCTAACATCTGCCAGATCATGATTACTCTCAAGTGATGCTTTAAGCACAGCTACATTGTATTCATTCTGTTTCAAGTTTAAAAATTAATAAAATGAGTCATTTAAAATTAAGTAATCCAAAATCATTAAGGAAATAAAATCATAGGAAATAAGGGCACAAGAAGAGCGGGGCATGCATCATGTCACGGGTTTAAAATCCTCTGAAGTTGTTGAGATCCATGAATTTATGTGAAGATTTCCTCTTTTAATATTTCGCCCATTTTATTATTTTTTTAAAATATAAAATCTTTATTACAAAAACAAACTTAATGAAATTCATGGAATCTCAAATTCAGAGAATTTAAATCCATCCTATCACCGGATTCCCCGGAAGACAATAAGTAAGCCAAAGAGTAAAGCATCAAGATAAGTGATTGGCAGCATAAAAACAGAATGAAATCACATGCGCCCAACCCCTGGAAGCCAAACAGCATCATTACGACCCAATACTTTTTTTTCTTTTCTCAGCAGCCAAACAGAACAAATATTGAATCCGAAAAATGCTTTTTATTTACAAAGCAAAAATTGGAACATGAAATCCCTAGAAACATAAAAGAAGGACCTGACATAAAATTGGAACCTCGCCGCCAGTTCCCGGCGCTGGCTCGGGCTTTATCGATGTAGCAGCGCTTTCTCCACAAAGAGTCTTCCTTCTCATTGCAATTTGTTGGCTCCTATCAAAGAAGGGAACCTTTGATCTTCACCAAATGACCCGGGGACCAGAAATTTGGAAAATTGCCGAAGGATTTCACTTTGAGAATATGTGAATCTTACCAGTGAACTCTACTGAAGTATAATATATTTATAAAAAGAATTAAAATTAAACAATTTTAAATAAATCAAATTATCATCAACATTAATATCAATTATCATTATCTATTATCAAATACACTAAATCCTAGTAGTTGCCGGATGAACACCAAGTCACACTTTTTTTCTATTTTAATATTTCTTTTTTTGATGATTCTATTTTAAGTCACACTTTTTAATATTTTAATACATTTTCTACTTTAATATATAAAATATATATATATATATAGATAAAGAAATAGATATTTTTATATTTCAATAACCTTTTCATTAATCAAAGTATCCATTTCAGATTAAAAAAATTTATCATTATAATAAAAATACTTTTACAAAAATTTCATTAAGTTAACTAATTTAATATTCACATACTTCATTAACAAATTAATTTGAAAAACTGATATTTTATTATCAGATGTAGAGATTAAGGGGAAAAGATGCAGTGATTAAAAAAATTATATGCAACTTCTTATCTTTGTATTGTCAGATTTTTTTTCAGTTAACACTTAACACTACCAAGACTATAATTATATTTATTAGATTTTAATTGAAAATTGATAGTAAAAATAAATAAATTGCATATTACTAGCTAAGTAAAAAGTATATACCATTTATCGTTAGACAAATAATCTCCCTTATTCTTGTACCCTTAAAAAAAAATAATCTCCCTTACTCTCAATATATTGGTGGTATGGATAACTGTGATAATTGGAATTTATAAAGGATCAAAAGTAAAAATATCAAAAATTTTAAAAATATTTTCTTTTACATACCATATTGTTTTCAAAAATTACGCTAGATTTTAATTAATCAAATAAAATATGGTCAAACCACACAAGGGTAAAGTTATTCTAAGGAAAGTTCAAACTCAAGATGTTATTTAAGAGAAACAGCCCTCGTGTTACTTGAATCAGGTGTTGCTACTTTATTGTATACAGTACATATTTTTTATAAGTAAGAAAAATGCTAGTCCATTATATTTTTTATCATTATTTAATAATAGCATTTATATTTTTTTCAAGAACATATACATTTAATTTCTATAATTCATTTAGATTTTATGCGATCATCATAATAAAACTGTAGAATTGAGTTTGAGTCTTAATATTTTTAATTTAACACTACTTATTATTACAGTTTTATTACTATTTCATCCTACATATAATTAATTTCATTTGACTATCTATCAATATTTATATTAATTTTTCTTACCAATCATACGCATTCAAAATATTGAGATAATATACGATCAGTTATATCAACAACATGTTGATAGCATGGATTAAACTAATTAGCCATGTTTCCCTAACATGGCAAGAATTTGAGAAAATAACCCTATTCATTATGACTCTTAAACGACATGTGGGGTTCGCTTAGGTAGCTGTGAGTAGTGAATACATAGTATTTACTTACAAGTGGCCTTTAGTTATGGGAAAATTTTACTGAGGACCTCATAACCATAAATAATAAAAAAAGAAAACTTTAAAGTTTTTATTATCTCACTGCAAGGCTTAGGGCCTGAAGTGATATTAATTTGAAAAGCCAAATAATAAAATTGCTCTCATTAGAAAGAAAAAGAAAAAGCTTAAAGCTTGCGATGGAAGACAGATGAAATGCAAGAATGCTTTGACCCTCTCATCCCCCTTCTCTCACCTTCTCTAACATCATGAGCACTTAGTAAATTCTCTAAATTGTACTGTGATTGTGTTCTATAATCGAAATGAAAATATGATTGATTTTTAGTTGAAAACACAATTAGATATAATCGAGTCCAACCTGTCTTCTCTCCCCCTATGTATTTTACAGCTTATTTTGTGGTTGGAAACAAAATTAAATATGATCAGATGGTACAGCTTCATTATTAAAAACTGCTAGTGAAAACCACAAATCTTTTGCTTCATTACATTAAATGATGGGGTGGTTGGAACAATTCTAAATGTATATTTTGCTTACTATCATTATGACCCCTTTTCGCTTAAGTTTCTCATCTTGTTCATCTTCATATTGCTGTTGTAAATATGCTCAGTGTAGTTGTTTACATGTCCAATTATTAAATGCTACTAATTAATTAAATTTGAATGTGTACACGTATAAAGACTCATGATAAATGGGCAGTTGTTCTGGAAACCAACTATATTGCATCTTCCATGTAAAGGGGAGATTTAAAGGTATGGGTGAAAAAATTATTTATAAAGGCAGTGTTATACTTGGAAGATGAATAACTAAAAGGATGACGCATGAAAGAGTTAGAAGTATCATAGCAAATAATCTATGGCCTAAATGTAAAGATTTTTTTACATGAAATACAAAGTCATTCCAACTAAAAATACATTATTGGATCTTGAAGATAATGTTGGAGTAGAGCAACTAATTGAGGAGAACCAAACCAATGGTCATGTGTATATTGCACAAACATCACAGTTAAAGTTTCAAGAAAAGTAAGTTGTTAATTTTAACAAATTTGTTAATTTCCCTTCTGGTTAACATACACTAAGTTGCTAACTTCCTTTGTCACTTATTAATGCAGCATAATGAGGTTGCTAGGACTTAAGGAGGGAAGTTCATTAAGCCCTCCCAATTTTGTGACAACAAGCACTCCTTCTCCCTTGCCCTTACAAAATATGGAAGCATGCATTCAGAGCTTGCAAAGATCATACATTATATGTCAATTGAGATGACATTTCCTCATGGTGATGAATGCTTAACTAAACAAAGTTTGCTTACACCAATCCTTGAGATGAATGTCGACTGGGGAAACATTTCCTCATGAATATACCAGTATGAGATGAATATATCAATATGAGTTCTCCACAAGCAAAGAGGAGTAATTGAGAAGGAGATACCAGTATGTAACACATATATAGGGAAGAATAACATATACTAGTATGATCGAGATATATTGATACAATTCATCAATAAGCGCACAAAGTATTAGGCAAAGTTACTAAGGACATACCAATATATAACATATATATTGGTATGAAGAACCTCACTACATACCTTGTTTTTATGTGCTTGCAAGACGTGTTTGTGAGACATTTTTTATTCCTCGATGGTGTTCTCACAATGAAGGCAACTTTATCATTTGGCTTTTAAAATTAATTTCAAATCAGAACCCCAACCTTGTAGTGAGATATCAAAATTTTTGGAGTCTTCTTTTTCATTATCTACGATCAAAGACCCTGGATGAAATTTTCCCTTTAATTAATGCTAAATCGAGATAGAAAGAAGAATCTCTAATGGCATGGTTTTGGTTTCAGTTCAAAGAAGGGATACTGATTAAGGAGGAAAGGATTTAAAATACATGAGATATAGAAAAGGGATAAAACAATTAATTTCACAATAAGTTTAAAATATATGCAAATTAAAAGAGTATAATGAGAACTCCTAAAAATTGATCCAATTGATAAGAATTTATTTCATGATATCATGCAATCAAATTTCACTGTCAATATGAGAACTTTATCAACATTTTTTTGTGAACATTCTTTGAGTTTAATAGCGTGTTGGTCATTGTAAATCCAAAACTCAACTAAACTAAACTTTAAAAAAAATGTGTAATGAGATAAAATTATTGGTAGGGTCCATGACCGTGTATACTTCAAGGCCAGAGAGGCCATGACCTTAGGCCTCAAAAAAATCTCTGATACTCTATATAACCCATCATTATTTTTCTCATTAAGTATTAATATTAATTAAATATTTTCATCTAAAATTTATTTTTTGCTTATACCCTTAATAACCAATATTCATTTTTACATCAAGTATGAACGTTAATTACATCTTCCCATTAAAAATTCATTGACTCACATGTAATTGTATCTATCACTCTCATTTCCAATATCAATTAACCATTCTCTAACTAAAAAAGTAACACACACCCATAAGTTTCTTTGCCACTGACGAGAAAAGAAAATGAAGATACAGTGAAATATGAATTCTTCTAACTAATTAGAGTTTCAAAAATAAATCATATTGTTCATAACTTGTGCCCATGAATAATGTGACTGGCTAGAATTTTCACATTATATATAAATGAACTAATGCATATAATATTATTAAAAAAAAAAAAAAACTCGTTCCCACTCTTCTTCAATACCCTCTTTCTATTATTACATTACATACTATCACAGAACGTCCAAATAGATAAGGTCAAGAAACACCCCCCTTGCAACCCTCACTTCTATTCCATGCTTAAAGATGGGGAAAAAATAGAGACTGCCAAGCTATTTGGATTTTTTTTTTTTATTCTCCTTTTTACCAGCGCCAAGCTATTTGGATATAATGTACGTCAGTTTCACTCTTGATCACATTTTAAAAAATTTTGCATGTTGACATGTGGAGGCATCAGTAGTAAACTTGAAAAGATTCTTGTCAAAAGGAGCGGAAAACCTTACCTCTTGTGCTATATAATGTGTATAGAAGCCTCGACAAGGATTTCTTCAAGATCCCATTGTTCTGTGTGCGTGAGAGAGAGAGACAGAGAGGGGGGGGGAGAAACCCACATACAAGGATTTTGTTTTAGTACCTAAAAGTTTTGTATTCCCTCTGCATGTTACCGGGAGTGCAGAAATTGAGAAACAAAGTCCTCAAAGTCGGACAAAACGTGATTGAGAAAAACGCATTGCTTTCCCTTAGTCTGCAGAAATCTCCCAAGGTCGACTGTGTCCTGATTAAGATTAAATGTGTGAAAACAGAAAACCCAATTAAGTCAAAGAAAGAAGATGAAAGACCAATATGATATTGAGGGAGGCCCGTTGTACTCAAGGTACTATGTTCCAGTTACAGAGGCAATTAACTGGTTATGGTAAGTCAGGATAAGCATGATAAACTGACAAGATAATCATGTGAAAAAAATGAGAATTTCATAAATCACTGATTCACTGTAAAACTAGGACTAATTTTTATGTCCAGTTTTTGCATTTTTCCACGTTTGAATTGAATAAACCTAACCCAATTTATTGAATCCACAGCTGACAAGGGTCCAGTACAAGATCATCGCCTTCCTTAAATACTTGCACGAGTTGAGTTATCCACTTCAAGAACCCCAACTTGTAAACCCAACAAGTAGAAATCTTGTTTAGCATTAAAAATAATAATAAAGAATTGACCAAGTATTATGAGCCACTTATTCTTTATTGTTCACTCTTTCTGTAAGTTGTTTTCACATATATAATGAAATGACTCACTCAGGTTGAGTTAAGCTGAGCCTCAGAAAATATACTCTTCTCTCATTTCATTTTGCAACTTACACAAACAAATTAATGCATGGACTTTGAACTTAGAGGCTAAGATACCCCCCTGGAAGCCACTATAAAGGCTACTAATTCTTTTATTCATTTGCTTATGAAAATAAATCATCAATTAAACTACACACAGTTATTTACCTGGCCCCACTGTCATGGTCCTCCATTTATCCTTAAGATCAATTGGGGTGCGTGTAGTATCAAATACATCACAACCAAATTCTAAAATTTTCCTCCAAGGGATATTCCGGTTTTCCTTTGAGAATCTTGAAACTCCTTCCTGCAATATATGAACCAAAGAAGGCTATGGTTCAGGAAAACAAGGGTAATTGCAACATGATTTTCATGAACGAAAAACACAATTATCTCTTTTCTTTTGTGTCAATATTGATTCATCTGATGATCTCTGTTTCAACACACTAAGGTTCACAACAATTTTTGAATATATATCGCTTAAATCTGCACAAAAACACTTGGATACACAGGATGGGTTAAAATAGCACAGATCTTGGTTTGTTCTGCTTAAGAACATCAGTGTTTGAGAGTCATAAAATACAAACTCTTCAACTATTCAAGTTAATTCAGAAGTAGAAACATAAAGCTGGGTTGATTACTAAAGACAAACAGCCATATGAGTGTCCAAATGTTGAACTCACGCCATCCAGATAAATTCATGAATGCTATAAGTAAAAGAATGATCCAGGGCTGTTGCATGGGCATAATCAACAACAACAAAAAAAGCAAGCCTTATCTCATTAAATGAAGTCGGCTACATGGATTATACGTCATTGTACTCTTTTACCAACTAAGCCTATGAAAATATTGTTAACTAAGAAGTTTTATTCAGCAACTTTTATGAATATTCTTTTGGTCTTCTCCCACCTCTTGTTACAAGGCTCAAAACTATTTATGCCACTCTTCTCACTAGGGCCTCCCATAGCCTTTTCTATATATATCCAAACTATTTGAAACAATTTTCTATCATCTTCTCCTCAATAGATACCACACCCACTTTAAGTCAATGGGAAACTTTTGGATCCAGTAAATATTACATCTTTCTTATTTAAAGTGCCCCCCCCCCACCAAAGAAAAAACGTCTACAGCTGGCAAACTTACTTGGTTCAAACATAGTGAAAGCTCAAATGCAGGAACATGAATTTTGTTATGATTATACTCCCCCCAATCCCTATTACAAGGCACATTTAAACCAAGGAGAGATGGTTAAGTTATTAACTTTATCTAAAAATAGAATAAACTTTCAATTATATCCTTATTTACATAAAAATTGTAAATTTACATTACATTCTCTCTCATAATTAATGAGTTTAAATATACAAACACATTAAGTATAATAAGGGCCACAGGGAATGTATCATAAGAGGTCTGAACTCTGAACCAATTTCACAACTAGACAATCAAATGAATTATGTCAATGCAGCATCCATAATTCATTCAGTTCCAGAAATGTAGAAAGTGTCTGCGAAATTCATACCTTTAGTTTATTTTCTTCTTCAGTTGTCCAGCGTAATCTCTTCCGCTTTCTAGCTGGTAAAGTCAGTTTTTTGCTGAGACAGCAATAAATAAACTCCTTAGCAACCTTTTGAAAGTGAGAGCATGCCAATACCATATAAATAGTAAATGCCTTCACGAGATAATTCCATGTGAATTTTTAAACAATAATATTTGAAAAATCATATGAGCATACAGACATATAAACAGAAATGAATTACTCACCCTTGCTTAGAAGATTTCTGGACCCGTCTCAAAGTTCCAGAACTGGTAACTTCCTCATCTTTGTGACAACCAGTTTCACCCTCAGCATTCATAACTCTCTGAGGATGCCTCTTTGCCATATGTTTGACACGTCTTTTCTTCATTAAGAGAGCTTCAGAACCTGAATCATCAGTTTCACTGACAGAAGTACCCATTGAAGGCGTCCTTGATTCATTCTGGAGCAACTTCTCTCTGTCTTGCCTTGTGTCCTTTTTATCTACAGTCACAGCACCACTTTCTTGTGTCCCTTTGACAATTGCAATATCAGGTGAGGGTCCATCTTTGTGTTTTCCCAAATGGTATGAGCTCGAAGGGGATACTTCCTCTTCATCCTCAGGGATCCCTTCGTCAAGGCTTTTATCACTATATTTTGGATGCTCTGGTTCAATCCCCTCTTTTCCTTCAACAAAAGTGGTTTTATGTGCCTCTGAAATTTTATGATCAACTTTCTCCCTGGTCATGGATTTATCAATCAGATCCATATGCTCTGGTGTCTTTTCTTCCACATGATGCATAGAACCAGTATTGGCCACTTCAGCATTTGCATGAGTTTCATCTTCAACTGCTATTTCATGTTGATCAGCACTAGATGTCACTCCTTCCGTTTCTTTTTGTTGATCTTCCACTCTCTGCAAGGACCATGCGCATGCACTGCCATTTTCCTGCCCACTCTTGTAATCCATGCGGCTCCCATTTCCCCCAAGGGATAACTCGTTGGAATCTTTTCCTGCTTCCCCGTAATTTTGGGCCAACTTACTACTCATGCTCCCACTGTTACCTAAAAAGTCAGACAAATCTTTCTTCGCTGTTAAGGCCTTTTTCCTCAATACTTGGACCTCTGCCAAAGTTCGTTTTAACCAGCAATAAGGGCAGTAGTAGTTCCCTATACCATCAAATTTAGGTTTGCAGCTGATACATTTTGCATGGACAGTAACAGGACAACCACTTTCACTGCAAATTAATACTTCTCCACCTTCATTGCAACGGATGCAAATCTTTCCATCAAAAACATCTGTACAAATGTTGTCATGACCTAGACTCTCATGAGGCATTCTATTAGAGCCCTCATGAATTACATTATCCAAATTGTCTTTTGAATCCACCTCTCTAACATCTAGCAGATCACGATTACTCTCATTGGATATTTTAGGCACAGCTGCACCATCTGCATCCTTCATCAATTTCAACAATTTTAAGAAACGAGTCATTTGAAAATAAATCATTCACAATATATAATGGGATTTCATCATCAGATCCAAAAAAAAAAAAAAAAACTCATTGAGGCTAGAAAAACAATAACAGAACAAACTTCCCAAAATCACAAACTCCTTCAACTATGACGTGCGCAGCAATTAATATGTGCAAGAAAAGATGTGCCAATAGTAAAATAGGAATTGTAACGAACAGTGAGTGAAGATAAGGAAAGAGAATCAACAAAACAAAGCAAAATTGCATAACGCGACTCACGCAAGCCACTGTCAAATAAACCTAACCAGCCAAGCAGAAAGGTCAGCAGCATGTTCACTCAAATATGTTTTTCTCAGTAGCCAACCAGAACCGAAATAGAATTCAAAAAATGGTTTCCAAGCAGGCATTTGGAACTTAAATTCCCAAAAGTAATGAGAATCAGAAATAGAACCTGACTCACTCGAGGAATTGCCCTCACAGTAGGATGGGAGGGTTTTGTAGAAGTTTTAGCCCTGCCTCCATCATGAGATTTCGTTCTCATCGCTATTTACGTAAGATTTTCAGTCCTCTGGCGATGTAGAGATGGCATTTGCGTCGTTTTCAAGAACTTGAACGCGCGCTGCTTCAGATTTCTTGAATTTCTCCTTTAACCTCTTACATGAATATGTACATATGTTTTTTGTTTTTTTTTTTTTTTGGGGGTAGTTGTCGTTGTAAGCCCATGTAGTACGGGACACGTTTCGTGCTCATCACACTGACCATGATCATCGTTGAAATAAAATCTAGATCATTTAAAATTTATTTAAAATATTATTATTTTTTTATTTTATATTTATTAAAATAAAAATAATAAAATAATTTTAATAAAATTTTTATTTTTAATCTGACCTAAATTTAATTTAAAATGTCTAATTTAATGTTAAAATTTTTATAATTGATGTATACTCCAGATGTACTATCAAAATGATCAAGTATCAAAGAAGGTAGTCCGGACAATTCCTAAAATGCATCATCCATCGCAGCCTATGTGTCATCCACAACAGCACACTACATAGTGAGAAAAATTTGAACTATGTAGAATATATATGGATAATCAATATACATTAATTATAAAATTTTAATATTAAATTGGACCTTCTAAATTAAATTTAGATTAGATTAAAAATAAAAATATTAATATTATTTTCTAAATTTTTATTTTAATGAATATAATATATAATAATACTTTAAATCTAGAGTATTGAATGGTCCAGATCTCATCACAATAATGAGTACCATGAGCACTCAAACCAGTCCCTACATAAGTCATTATTAATTATTTAACATTTCTCAAAAAAATAGAAGTTAAAATTTTGATTTTTTTTAAATTTTTTACATTTTTCCAATCAAACCCTTGAATATAATAAATATAATATTTAATTTATTCAAAATATCATCATTAATTATTCAATAAGATTAAGATATAATTAAAAATAAATATATAACATCTACCTAATATCCTATTTTTAGAACCAAGTAAAATTTTTAGAAAATGATTTATATTGTGATACAGAGAAAGTATATATATATATATATGCAATGCTTATATTTTGTAAGGGGAGAGCATTAGGTCTTGTTTTGAAACTATTTATGTTTTATTATTTTGAGAACCAATGCTTTGTACAATATATTTTGAGAATAAAAATAATAAAAATATGTATTTGTTACATTCTTTTCTGTTTTTTAGAATAATAATCCCAAAACATCTCTATTTTTTTATTCTCCAAAGCAATATTTAGAATTTTTTTTTGTTTTCTCAAACATTTTTAAAAAATACATTATCAAACAATTTTTTTTATTTTTTTTATCCTAGAGAACATAAAACTATTTCTGAAATAAGTTGTCAAACAAACCCTTATTCTCTAGAGAAAAAAAAAAGGAGCTTTACCCTCAGTAATCTTCAATTAATTTTGAAATTTTCAAATACATATAAACAAAAAATGTAATAACTATAATTTATTTTTTTATAAACAATAACTATAATTTCTTTAACAATTATTCCATCTGATCACAATATAAGAATTTTTTTTATAAATTTTACATGGTCCAAAATATAGGATATTAGGTGGTTGTTATATTTTTTCAATTATACTCTTACTTTATTTATTATTATTTTTGAAACATTAATCTTAATGGAATTGTAATTGTCATTATTAAATCATTTATATAATACATTTAATAAGGATATAATTGAAAAAATATATAATTTTTAAAAATATTAAAATTTCAATTAACTTTTTTTAAGGACATACCAAGTTGTAAAATCCCACTCCACTAAATATAACTAACAAATAAAACTCATGGTAATAAAAGGATTAACTCAAAAAGTATTACCAAATTTTAGTTTAAATTCAAAGAATCTCAAGTTTTCTTAATAAACATGAATTTAAAATCAATCATAATCTTATATATTAAAGTAAAGATAAGTTATGGAAGTATGGGATACTTCAAAGAAGTGAAAAAAATCAAAAACAGTTGAAAAATAACTCATATGTTATGAAAGAGGGCAATGTGCTATGGCTCGTGCATGCTGTGGCGCGACATGTTGCTCTCTATGCCACATGCCGTCACTTAGGCCCTGTGTGCTATGCGTGTTGCATGAAAATATTAGTAGATTCTGCTGTCATTTGACAACAGAATCGAGGAACTTTCAACGTGTTCTGAATCTCTATCTGACGTCCAAATGATGTGATCTAGGTATTTATAAAAAGCTCTTTACATGAACTAACTAAAGGCACGAGTTTCACTTCCAAACAAGTCATACTAGGAAGTTAGACACCCAAATATGTTTTGACCACTTTTCACAACTTTAACATAAAAAAAGTGTCCAAAATCTACAACAAGTGTCAAAAACCTTTCCTAACACCTAGACTGCGTTCATTGGACTTAGGATTATCAATATAACACGTCACACGCACTAAAACACAAGTATAGAATAAAATCACTCATTAACCCCATTTCACCAAAAACAAAAGAGGGAAACATTTACCATTTCATTGCATCCAAACCAAATAAAACATATTCAAAATATCATTTTTACACTTGCACTAGTATTTTGGCCTTATCAATATATATATATATATATATATTATCATACACAAATACTCAGAGCCCAAAATACAACTTGGACATTTGCAATAACCAAAATAGTACAAGTGCAATGGCATGCAATCCTAAAATTGGCAATCATATACTATTACACAAAATAAATCTAAATTAGAGGCATACAATAGGAATGTACTAATTCCTAACCTCTTGAACTTTCTCCTTCTCTACACCAGAGCTAGAACTTGAAGAGTATTAAATGAAAGGGGTGAGTCTAACTACTCAGTAACCAAGGTAAAACCTACCCTATGTAATTATATATCAATTGTAAATCACACATATCATAACTTATTAATCCAGTTGGCAAATTTTTATCTCACACATGCTAGGTACATAATCACAAAATACTTAAACATGTGACAATGACTCAATTTATCACACAACTTGTCACAATTCAGAACATGTGACACATTATAAATTTACATAAACAATGATCAACCAACCTTATTCCTTCCTTATTTCCTCAAATCGAAACCGTGGGCTATAACACTGAATAGGGCTCCGTCCGTGTGACTGGACCATCCAAGCTCACTAATCATGAGGTGTGACCCGGTTAAAGATCACATGACTTACTCTTGGACCATAACTTCCTCCACTCTTGAATTTTTAGAGTGTCTCATATCCTAAGATATTCTCCTCATTGAACTGGTGAAAAAAGTTAAGTTTTAATCCCTCGACAAACTATGAGATAAGACTATACTTCCGTGTATTGGAGAGCAGCCTAAACACCATATGAATTTTTCTTTACTCCCAATTCCTAAATGAACTTTCGCCCACTGATCATGCCATAAATGATGTTCACTTATTTTCACATTTTCATTTATTATTTATCACAATCACACATTGGGTTCACGATCATGCGCTACCTAAGTGAGCATTTGATAACATTTCACAACACTATCCTTATTTATCATAATAATCCATTTCTTTATTAATACGCTTTTACCTCAACATAATATCACATTCATCTTCCTAAAACATATACACATCTATAGTTCAAAAATCATCTTGATTTCACATCTTACATTTCAAGCCAAATATGACATTATGCATAATTATGTTTTCAAACATTAAAAATCAATTTATGCATGTAGTGTTCACAACTTTACAATAAATAATCAATTAATAAATAACTGCTCAAAGTAGGGTTCCCCCGGTTATTTCATACTTTTGAGAGGTCAAAGGTTTACTTTTTAATATTATAGCTTCTAAACTTGAATTACAAAGCCAATTTAGTGTCCAAGATCTTAATCTACAATTTACCCAATTAACTTTCATTAACATTGCTAATCTTACACATTTCAACTCTAATATTCCCTTTCTAGATTATCCAATGCCCATATTACTTACATTTGAGTTACCCATTGGATTTATTATCTATTTTTAGTTCCCAATAACATTAATGAGCCATTAAACTCCCATTAATGGCATCATTCTCTTTCCAACAACCCACATTAATGCAATTTTAGATATTTATAGTGCTCAACAACTCAAGACATCAAAATTCATTATACCTAGATTTAGATACTCCAATCTACTCACATTAATTCTATTTGAGCTAATAGATCCGAACCCATAACCTATATGGATCGAAAATCATCTTTCATTATCAAAGCCTAATCATAAACTCATAAATGTAGAAGAAAACGGGAGATTAAGAAGCAAGATACTTACCTCGAGTGTTTGTAGCTTCCAAAACACTCATAATATTGTCCAAGAACAAACCCTGGCAAAACTTAGCGTGCCTCTTCTGTTTTCTCCTTCTTTCTCCCTATTTTTTTCTCAGTTTTGTGACTAATAAATTGCAGAAAATGACCATACACTACGATAGAGGTTCAATGCACCACGACACATGATATAAAGAGGTTCCCATTCCGTATCAATAGTGTTTATGTGCCGCGAATGCACTCCATGCCACTACGTGTGGCACAACAATATTACCCTTTATTTTCTTCTCCTTTTAATGCTTGGGTAGCCCAATTTGATACCGAACCCATGATTAGGGCTAAAATATAATCAAACATGATTATTAGACCTCTCTGGCCACACATCATTATAATTTACTTAATTTTTCTAATTAAGCTTAGTAAATCAAGGAATTAAAAATTGAGATGTTATACCATGAGGTAGTTAGAAATGTCTTATATTATGAACTTGAAGGAGTATATTACTTATCCTTTCATTTTCATATATAAAAAAATTTTAATCAACTCAAATAATTTAAGAAAGTTAATTAATTTTAATGATTATGAATAATATCGGAAGGTTTGGACTAGAATGCTTTTGTAATTAATTCTCATTTTTGTCTAATTTAATGATATTTCCATTTAATAATATTACCAACTAATAAAGAACAATTAAGAAAAGATAATCTATAAATTTTTTAAGTATGGCATAAAAAAAAAAGAAGAAGAAGCCAGATTATATGGTTTGGCTTGTAATTAGTTACTTGAGAAAATAAGCAAACCTACCTCTTTCTCTCAACTTTAGTGGGCAGTAGAGTTGATAATTCAGACTACCCTAAATATGTCCAAAGAATTT